ATAAAATTTCATAAATTCCAAAAAAAAAGAATGTTTTTTTCAAATTAAACTCTCTGTGCCACCTACAATCTATATATATTTGGCTTAATCTTTATCTCTCCTGCCCACTTTCTTCCTTTCTTCCATGAGAAACATTTGTGCCCATTCATAAAATATTTTGCTCTACTTATTGTTGGGAGTGCTGCAGCTATATTTTCTTTTAATCTATCACTGGCTACAATCGGGGAATGTGAAAAAGCATCAAGTAAACTTGCTTTTCTCCAGAGAAGATACAAAGTCAGCACTGTGAAAATCACATTACAGAATTAAAATCCATAAAAGTCTTTTTGAATATTTTTCCTAAAAGATAAATTTTGAAATGTCTTGACTGTTAATTTCTTATGTCAAACTCTCAAACAATCATTTTTATGCTTGTCAAATTTATTGTCCCTGGTTATGGCTAAAACATATTAATTTAGTGCTAATCCAGTTTCCTTTAAAAGAAGGGCTTTTCCTCATGTTATTTTAAGTGACTAGTTATTGTAAATTTATGATAAATAGTCAACTGAGTTTATGGAGCAAGTAAGAAATGCTTACAGGCAATTCTACAGTATATGAGAGGGGATACCTTAAAGTATACTCCCAGAATATTTATTTCTTTTTGGGGGGATGGGGGTAACGGGGATCGAACTCGGGACCTTGCGCTTGTGAGGCAGGAGGCAGAACCACTGAGCTAAATCCCCGCCCTAGAATTGTTATTTCTGCTCTTGTTTATCTGTTAGTTGACTTTAGGTGAGGACAGTCTATGAGGCATACAGAGGTAATATAACAGGATGTATTGATCAAAACTATAATGGCTTTACAATATTTGTACCTAACAAATGTTCATACATTTATCCAAAGGTATGGTAAGCCCTAAGTTTTTGACAGGTTAACATTCGACATGGTAATAGGCATATAGAGATGAATAAAGCAGCTGCCCTCCTGGCATTGATGCCTTTTTCAGGCTTCTATGTCTCTCTGCTCAGGCTCTTCCCATCCCCTCGCTTACCCCCTCTCACCTGACCCATACATCAGTTGATCCAATGTCATACAAAGTTAATTAAATGCCACATCTCTATGAATTCTTTTCTGACCTTCTAAATAGATTTGTTCTTTTTTTGTTTTTTTAACAACACCCCTGACCCCAAACAACAATCCTATACATGTAGCTGTAGCAAATCTTTTGTACTTCTTATTTTGTCTGCCTCCTCCATTGAATAATGAATAACAATGAAACAGAGTGTCTGCATTGCTCATTATTGTAACCACAGAGCTAGTTATTTGCTTGACATATTGTGCTTGAGAAATGTACATAGGCTGAATAAATTATATTATGGGCAATTTCTGATACACAAAAGAGCTGAACAAAATATGTACTGAATGAATAGAGGTATTTGTAATGTACAAGAGATAAAAGAACATTAATAGAGTGAGATATTGGGGGATGATGATGATAACAAAAACAATGAAGATAGTGAAAATAGCCCCACACTAGCCATAATATAGGTATCATGAATAGCATATTAGGGGCCAGCAATAAAATAATTCACTGTTCCCAAGTCATCCTACTGGACATGCAATCACTTGGGCAGGCCCACTCTTATACTATTTGTACTCCAGCAGCCTCTTCCAGTGAGGCTAAAGCCAGGCAAATGTGCAAACAACAAACACAAGAGTGGCATTTGCTCTTCCGAGATGTCTTGGAGGGAAGGGTAGGAATGGTGTTTAAAGACTTAGTGGCTTGGGAAAAGAGATGCGAAACTCTCAATAAAGACCATGTTTGCCTTTTGGTACCTCAAGTTCCCAAAAGAAAAACCACCCACATCTTCCCATGTTCTCCAGCTTTGTAGAAAAAAAAAAAAGCAGTGCCTATTCAGGCAAAGAAGAACAAAGTCTAAGGATGATATTTTAAGAGAGTCCATGGAAATGTGAAAGCAAGTTGCCTATAAAGGAGAAAAAAATGGACTGCGTCTCATATTTCTGCTTGGATTTGAGAAAAGAGACACATATCAGAGTAAAGTCTTTAAGAATATAATGGGAGAAGCACATTCAAGCTTATACTCAAAACTTAGTAAATAATTTCAAAGGGTTTAAAAGTGCTCTGATGTTCACCCAAATACCCAAGGTACCTATGAACCTCAGGCTGATACATGTCTTCTAGACAGATATCAGGAGCCAGTAATCAGAGTCACACTGATGTCAGATATTATGTCACTCAACTAGCACAGCTGCTACAAGGGAACACTTGAAGAAGACTCTAAACCTCCAGCTTTTGACCTCTTCCCATAAGGATAGGAAGAATAGAAAAATAATCACAGTGCTCTACACGGTAGGAACTGACTTGAGGATAGAAAAACCATGGGTGCCATGGATTGTGAAGACAGTTTTACCTATACCTCAGTCTCTTAGAAAATGTCTTCTAGCTCTCAGTACAGATAAACTCCAGTGGAAATATCCACAAAACAAAATATTCCCATAATCTTTCCCATAGAGGATACAAAATAATATATTACGGTCAAGCTTATATTAATATAAGTAAGTACTTGGAGGAGCATGAAGTTTGCACTATTTATTGCAAGAAGAAATTTAATGGCATTTAACTTATACTCCAGAGTTAGCACAACCAATACTTAAGCAACAACTTCAATGCCACTATATATACTATATAAAAATTATGAATCATAAAAGCTTCTACAGGTTGAAAAGAAAAGACTCTTCATGAAAAGTGTATCTAGATTAAAATGTAGTTACAGAGAAAATCCACCAATATGTTCTTTCCCTGCCTAGCCTCTAGGGAACAATGGAGATTTTTGGCTTGATTGTACAGAAGAAAGAAATACACGTAGAAAATGATACTACTTAAGGAGCTATTATGGCAAGATAATAAAAGAAGAGAATTTTTGTAAAGTTTTTCACTTTTCAATCAATAAGAATTAAGGAAATCCTTTCTAAAATAACTATCACAAGAAATATGATTTGAGTCCTGAAAATGAAAGCCTTCTCTTTTATAAACAAAGATGGAAATAAAAGCTGTTATTTCTGCAGCTAATTTTCCTAAAACCTCTGCCACCTGTATTCCAATTGTCTCCATTCCACATCCCTTTGCCAGACTAGGTCAAGGATTTGACTGTCAGAGAGTTCAGGCAAAGTGGGGCTAAAACAAGTTTTCAAAACCAAAATCTTCTGGCACAAAAACAAGTAGGCATAATGCAGCTTGGAATGAATCTTGCACATGGCAACAAAAAAAAAGCTAGAATAGAAACTGCATTCTGTTCTTGCTAGAATGTGAAAAAGAAAAGCTCTCATATATTGCTCTCAATGATGTTACATTTGTTTAATGTATGTATTATGGCCAGTTTGTGTGTGAGTAGACACATATTATACTCAACTAAAGGTCTCCTGACAAAACAATTCAATCATTCCATTAAGATACATTTCTACCCATAGCTCTGCACAGGGCATCTTTGACCTCCTTGTCCCTCAGACTGTAAACAACAGGGTTCAGCAGAGGGGTGATGATGGTGCAGGTTACAGAAAAAAGAAAGTCTTTTTCTACTGAGCTTTCTGACTTAGGCTTCAGGTAGGTGATGGGGGTGCAGCCACAGTGAACAATGACCACAGTGAGGTGGGAGGCATAGGTGGCAAAGGCCTTCATCTGCCCCTCAGTGGAGGCAATTTTAAGGATGGAAGAGATGATGAAGACATAAGAGATCCAGATCAGGCCTATAGGCACAAGAATTAAAAATGAACTTACACCATAATTGATTATCTCAGTGACAGTTGTATCAACACAAGGGAGCTTCATGACTGGATAAATGTCACAGAAGAAGTGGTCCACCACATTGTCACAGAAAGGCAAAATGAACATGGATGTCACATGGAGAACTGCCATAACCAGACAAATGCCAAAGGACCCACACACTCAGCTAGCACAGATTCTATTGTTCATGATGACTGTACACCTCAGGGGCTTGCAGATTGTTACATAGCAGCCATAGCCCATCGGTGAGGAGGAAGTAACTGTTAGTGGCCAAGGTAACAAAAAATAACATTTGGGTTGAACAACCTGCCAAGAAGATGAGCTGCTTATGAAAAATGAAGCCCCAAATCATTCGTGGGACAATGACCAGTGTGTACACTGTCTCTGAACTAGCCAGCATGCTCAAGAAGAAGTACATGGGAATTTGAAGGTGAAGGTCAATGCAGGTAGTAGTCAAACTGATGATGTTTCCAGCCATAGTTAAAATTAGATGGTTACATGCTGAAAAAAAAATGATCAAAGAGGATATAAGAAAATGGAAAGACATCCCTTGTTCCTGGGTAGGAAGGACCAATATAGTGAAAATGGCCATACTTCAGAAATTCCTATATAGAGTCAATGCAATCCTGATTTAAATCCCAAAAGTATATTTCACAGAACTAGAGAAAATAATCCAAAAATTCATTTGGAACCAGAAGAGACCTAAAATAGCAAAAGCAGTTCTAGACAACAGAGACATGGCAGGGGGTATCACAATCCCCAGCTTGAAACTATATTACAAAGCCAATGTGATAAAAACAGCATGGTACTGGCAAAGACACAGAAGCAGATGAGCCTCTTGGGCTGCTGTACCACTGCCCCTGAGCACCAAGGAGCAGAACCACACACACACACCCGCCCCTGCCAGCACCAAGGAGGTGAGCCATGTGGACACCAGCAGCAGACCCCCCCACACACACAGCTATGTGGAGCCATCACCTGGATCCACACTGCAAAGTTGCAGGGGTCAAAAAGGACATTTTTCTAAGCTCCAGAAGATAGAGCAGAAGTGAACAACAGAAAGAGGGCCTCTCTGAGGCTCCTTGATGAAAACTGAAGGTGAAAAAGTAAAGAAAATCTCCGCAATAAAAGCACACCACACCACCTTACTTGGGGGAGCAGTGGTGTGGACCAGAGTGGCAAAGCTTAAAGCAGATCCCAGCCAGGGCTCCACCCTGACCCCAGAGCTCAGGTACACCAGCCCAAGCCAAGGGCCCACCTGGAAAACAGCTGCAGAGGCACACAAGCAAGAGCCAGAGATTTGCCTTGATACCATTGGTAAGTGTGTGAGACTCTACCCAGAAGCTTGCTCACACAACAGCAAGTGAGGTGTACAGTAACCAGGGAAAGTCCCTCCCAGACAACAGGTACATAGAGGCCCTAACCAGAGGCAAACCTAGATACCATCCCAAGTGTGCACAGGCGCCAGCCTGAAGCCTACCCAGACAACAGATGAGCTCAGGGATCCAGAAGGACAACATTCTGAACTCAGGAATTAGTGTACTGGTGAGCAGCAGAGAAAAGGCTGCTCAGAAGCTTGCTGAGAATTCAAGACACTGGGTGAGTAAAAAGTTGCCTCAACAAAGACACACCATACTGCATCTGTTGCAATGACAAGACACATAAACAAGTCTCAAAACCAGATTTCCATATCACCTAAGGTGATTCCAAAGGGAACCAAGATGGAACAATCTGATATTCAACCACCTGGACTCCTGAACTGGCAAAAAAAGAGGATCTGGAAAAAATCAAATAAAAAATACTTTCTCAAATAACAGCAGAGATTGTGCTGATAGTGCAAAACATAATTAGTAACACTAGAGCAGACATAGACAGAAAAAATAGAGGAGCTGAGGAACATGATGGAATTCCAACATACGAAACCAATGGAATCCAAAAAAACAGACACAAATAGATTTCAAAGAGATTAAAAACTTCACTGAGTTTCCAGGCTTCCATACCACTACCTGGAGTGCAGAGGAGCAGAGCTGCCCCCAGCACAGAGGAGAAGAACTTTCAGGGTCACCATACCGCTGCCCCGAGTGGAGAGGAGCAAAGCTGCCCCCAACCCAGAGGAGGGGAAACTTCCGGTCCACCATACACTCCAAGGGCTGAGGAGGTGAGATGTGCAGGTGCAACCAACACACATCCTCTCCCCCAACCTGGTGAAATGAGAACACAAATAAAGAAATCTAAAAAGCAGACTTCTAAAACACTTAAAACAATCCCAAAAGGAAAAAAGATGGAACAACCTGATATTCAAACACCTTGATTAACTGAACTGGCAATGAAAGAGGATTTGGAAAAAATGAAATCAAAAATAATTACTCAGATATCAGAAGAGATTGTGTTCATAGGGCAAGACATGATTAATAAATCTAGAGAGGACACAGATAAAAAAAATAGAGGAGCTGAGGAAAATGATGTAATCCCAACATAGGAAACAAATGAAATCCATAAAACACATGCAAACAGAATTCCAAGACATTAAAAACTCCATTGATAGTTTATGCAGCAGAATGAGCCAATGTGAGGACAAAATTTAAGATATAGAAGATAAGATTGCAATTAGTCACCAGGAAAAGAAAAATTGCTTTAAAATTGTAAGGGACCACAAGAAATGAATCCAGGAGCTGCTAGACAATGCAGAGAAGAATAACATAAGACTGATCAGAGTCAATGAAGAAATAGGAAAGAGTGCATATAACATAAAAAATCTGTTCACAGAAGTGATGGCAGAAAACTTCCCAAGCAGGGGAAAAGAACTTGACATACATATAAGTGAAGCATATATGACTCCAATGAGCCTTGATCAAAAAAAAAAATCTACACATAGGCATATAATAGATAAGATTTCAGAAACCCAGCAGAAGAACAAAATTCTACAAGCAGTTAGAGAAAAGAAACAAATCACTTACAAAGGAGACCCCATCAGAATCACAGCAGACATCTCAAAACAAGCCCTGAAGGCAAGAAGAGCTTGGAGTGACATACTTCAAACCCTAAAGGAAATCAGCCTCCAACCCAGATTGATGTATGTGCAAAACTATTTTTCAAAATTGATGGAGAAATAAGATACTTTCATGACAAAGAGCACCTTAGGAACTTAATGAATACCAAACCAGCACTACAAAAAATTTTAGGAAATATCCTAGAGAAAAACAGCGAGGATCACAGCCCCAGGAAGCCCAGCCGAATGAACCCATTGAGCATGACAAGAAATTAAACACAAAGGGGGAGAATCCAAAAACAGAAAAAATGATGACAATGATAAGTCAATACATATCACTTATAACCATCAATGTTAATGGTCTAAATTCACCAATCAAAAGAAATAGACTGGAAGAATGGGTCAAGAACCAAGATCTAACAATATGCTGCATACAAGAAACACACTTAATTCAAAAAGAAACACATAGACTGAAAGTTAAAAGGTGGAAAACAATACTCCATGTGACAGGAACTCAAAAAAAAACAAGGAGTAGCTATCTTCTTTGCAGACCAAGTAGATTTCAAACCAACACTGATTAAAAGAGGCAAAGAAGGACACTACATCCTTGTAAAGGGAACAATCCAACAGGAAGAGATGACAATCATAAGTACATATGCGCCAAACAATAGTGCAACCAACCATATAAAACAAATACTAATGGACATGAAAAGTCATATATGCACTAATACAATAGTAGTGGGGCACCTCAATACACCACTGTCAAAATAGATAGATCAACTAGACGGAAACTGTGCAATGAAATACTAGAATTCAAAAAAATTCTTGAACAACTGAACTTAACAGATGTTTACAGAGTGTTCCAACCCACAAAAACAGAATACATATTCTTTTCAGCTGCACATGAGTCGTTCTCCAAAATAGACCACATACTCACTCATAGAACATGTTTAACTAGTTGCAAAGGAATTGAACTTACCCCTGTATATTATCAGATTATAGTGTGATGAAATTGGAGATCACTAGCAAAAGAAACCACAAGAATTTCATAAAAACATGGAAATTAAACAATACACTTCTGAATAACCCATGAGTCACAGAGGAAATTAAAGAAGAAATCATACAGTTACTACAATTAAATGACAATGACAATACAACATATCAGAAGCTATGGGAAACAATGAAAGCAGTATTATGAGGGACATTCATAGCAGTGAATACTCATATAGGAAAACAGAGCAAGCCCAATTAAACAACCTGATGCTGAACCTCAAACTTCTGAAAAAGAAGAGCAGGACAAACCCAGAGCTCCTACAAGGGAGGAAATTATAAAGATCAGAGCAAAAATCAATTCAATGGAGACTAAGAGAATGATACAAAAAAAATCAATGAAGCCAACAGTTGGTTCCTCGAAAGAATAAAAAAATTGACAAACTCTTAGCCAACCTTAGGCCCAAAATCATGCAATTAGGAATGAAAAGGGTGAAATGACAACAGACCCATCAGAAATCCAGAGGATCATCAATACCTACTTCCAGAACCTATACACCAATAAG